ATATTCCATCCTCACAACAGACCTTGCGTTAAAAAAAAATGTTGTGGTGTGATTTGAAGACAATCGGATTCTTACATCACATTTTATAAGAGTTGTAATTATTCAAAATTTTGAACCTTTGTAGGGGAGGTACTTGATGGAGTGGACCGATATTGTCCATTTTCGCACCTGACCTAGCACGGATGCAAATGTTAGGATTTGCAAAGTTGTAACAAGAACGGATTATCCTTTCTCTTTCTGTGCTGCAAAAAAATATTTATTTTTTTTTTTTGGAAATTTCGACCTTTTTTTGGGGTAGTTACCAGAAGGAGTGGACCGAAATTGTCCATCTCTGAACTCGATATAAGTTTGATAATAATATTACGATGTACCAAGTTCCGACTAAGTCGATTATTTCCTCCGAGAGTTACCGTGCTCATCAGCCAGCCAGAAGGATGGATGGACACCCCTAGATCGACTTCAAATATTTAAATTTAACTTTCGATGAGGCACGTTTTGACCATATCAAATGATATGTACCCTCTGTAGCCATATGGCTGAGGGTATAAAAATTTCCGGTTGAGCATTTAAAGAATTTTGTTTACTTTGTCCTTGTAATAAAATGATTTTTGATTATTGAGAAAATCTCCAAAAATTCACTCTAGATCTAGAATGTTGTTAAAAGTCAACCTTTACCGGTGTGATGGTCTTTGAAGAAATATTCCTAAATATTCCTTGTTGGTTGGCGATTGGTACTTAAAATATTCTTAAAAATTCCTTGATTGTTGGCCTGCTGGTCCTTGAATTAATAATGTTAAAAGATATCCGTTTGGTGGCCTGTAGGTTGATTGGAAAAAATATTTAAAAAAAAAAAAAAAATTACCTTTGGTAATCCGATGTTGTTTCAACATTTTCCCTAAGAAAATCTTTATTTTTCAAAAATTTTTGTTTGACGACAAAAGCTTACCTTTATTTGCGGAGAAAATACCAAACCAATCCCTCTTTTATATTCCACCCAAAAATACATTGAAAGTAACCACAAGGAACATCCTTTAAATATCCTTCTTTTCCATTGCTTCGCTTTTAAGGTAAACATTCTCGACGGTGTTCACTTCAAGAATTCCAAATGGAATCCTGAAATGAAGGAGTTTCATGGAAGTAAATGTAAACAACACAGCCGCATCTGAGAAGCTAACGACATATGAGGGTGTGTGTGTAGGTGTGTATGTATGTTGATGCCTTCAATGGAATGGACAAAATCTCATACGGAACTGTTGTTTTGTACACAAGACAAATACAAAAACAACAACAACGAAAACAACAATGGCAACAGTATGGCGTTAATATTCTTTCCTTGGCTTTACTCAGTTTGAAAGTGCGAAAAATTCGAAAGGAGAAAGTAAGAGTTTTCTGCAAACTCTTATGACTTTAAGAGTGTATGCGAAAATTTTATAAGGATCTACAAACGTGGATTTTTAAAGAATATTTTTTTCAAGGATCTACAAACGTGGATTTTTAAAGAATATTTTTTCAAGGATCTACAAACGTGGATTTTCAGAGATTTTTTTTTTCAAGAATCTACAAACGTGGATTTTTAAAGAATATATTTTTTCAAGAATCTACAAACGTGGATTTTTTAAGGATATATTTTTCAAGGATCTACAAACGTGGATTTTTAAAGAATATATTTTTTAAGGATCTACAAACGTGGATTATTAAAGAATATTTTTTCATGGATCTACAAACGTGGGTTTTTAAAGAATATTTTTTCAAGAATCTACAAACGTGGATTTTTAAAGAATATTTTTGCCAGGACGAAATGGGGATTTTTAAAGAATTCTTTTTCACTAATCTACGAACGTGGATTTTCAAAGAATATTTTTTTAAAGGATCTACAAACGTGGATTTTTAAAGAATATTTTTTCAAGGATCTACAAACGTGGATTTTTAAAGAATATTTTTTCAAGGATCTACAAACGTGGATTTTTAAAGAATATTTTTGCAAGGATGAAATGGGGATTTTTAAAGAATTTTTTTGCAAGGACGAAATGGGGATTTTTAAAGAATACTATTTCAAGAATCTACGAACGTGGATTTTCAAAGAATATTTTTTCAAGAATCTCCAAGCGTAGATTTAAAAAAATGTTTTCAAGGATCGAACGTGGATTTAAAAAAATGTTCTCAAGGATCGAACGTGGATTTAAAAAAATGTTCTCAAGGATCGAACGTGGATTTAAAAAAAATGTTCTCAAGGATCGAACGTGGATTTAAAAAAAATGTTCTCAAGGATCGAACTTGGATTTAAAAAAAAATGTTCTCAAGGATCGAACGTGGATTTAAAAAAAGGTTCTCAAGGATGGAACGTGGATTTTTAAAGATTTTTCAAACGTTTGGTGGTCCGAAGGTCCTTGAAAATTATTCCTTAAAAAAATCCATTTCGGTTGATATGATGTTTCTTGATCTATTGGTCCTTTAACATTTTTCTTTCAAATTCCAAGATTGGTGATATGATGGTCCTTTAAAAATATTCTTAAAACAAAAAAAAAAATATTTTTCGTTGAAAGGTCCTTGAAAAAATTGATTAAAAAAAAATTCACCTTTGTTGATCTAAAGGTCCTTGAAAAAATAGATTTTAAAAATTTTCGTTTGTTGATCTCAAGGTCCTTCAAAAAAATATTCCTTAAAAAACCCAAGTTTGTTTCCTTGAAAAAATATATTTTAAATTATCCACGTTTGTTGGCCCAAATATCCTTGAAAAATTTAATTTAAATTATTTACATTTGTTGCTCTAAACGTCTTTGAAAAGTAAATTTTAAAACCCCCAAGTTTGTTGGTCTAAAGGTCCTTGGAGAAATATATTTTAAATAATTCACGTTTGTTGGTCTAAAGGTCCTTGATGAAATATATTTAAAAAAAAAAACCAAGTTTGTTGGTCAAAATATCCTTGAAAAAATATATTTAAAAAAATCCACGTTTGTTGGTCTAAATATTCTTGAAAAAATATATTTTACAAAATCCACGTTTGTTGGTCCAAATGTCCTCGAAAAATATTTTTTAAATAATTTACGTTTGTTGGTCCTAATGTCCTTGAAAAATATTTTTTAAATAATTTACGTTTGTTGGTCCAAATGTCCTTAAAAAAAATATTTAAAAAAATCCACGTTTGTTGGCCTAATTGTCCTTGAAAAAAATATTTAAAAAATCCACGTTTGTATATCCTTGAAAAAATATTCTTTAAATATCCACGTTTGTAGATCCTTGAAAAAATCCACGTTTGTAGATCCTTGAAAAAATATTCTTTAAAAATCCACGTTTGTAGATCCTTGAAAAAATATTCTTTAAAAATCCACGTTTGTAGATCCTTGAAAAATATTCTTTAAAAATCCACGTTTGTAGATCCTTGAAAAAATATTCTTTAAAAATCCACGTTTGTAGATCCTTGAAAAAATATTCTTTAAAAATCCACGTTTGTAGATCCTTGAAAAAATATTCTTTAAAAATCCACGTTTGTAGATCCTTGAAAAAATATTCTTTAAAAATCCACGTTTGTAGATCCTTGAAAAAATATTCTTTAAAAATCCACGTTTGTAGATCCTTGAAAAAATATTCTTTAAAAATCCACGTTTGTAGATCCTTGAAAAAATATTCTTTAAAAATCCACGTTTGTAGATCCTTGAAAAAATATTCTTTAAAAATCCACGTTTGTAGATCCTTGAAAAAATATTCTTTAAAAATCCACGTTTGTAGATCCTTGAAAAAATATTCTTTAAAAATCCACGTTTGTAGATCCTTGAAAAAATATTCTTTAAAAATCCACGTTTGTAGATCCTTGAAAAAATATTCTTTAAAAATCCACGTTTGTAGATCCTTGAAAAAATATTCTTTAAAAATCCACGTTTGTAGATCCATGAAAAAATATTCTTTAAAAATCCACGTTTGTAGATCCTTGAAAAAATATTCTTTAAAAATCCACGTTTGTAGATCCTTGAAAAAATATTCTTTAAAAATCCACGTTTGTAGATCCTTGAAAAAATATTCTTTAAAAATATTTTAAATAATTCACGTTTGTTGGTCTAAAGGTCCTTGAAGAAATATATTAAAAAAAAGTCCAATTTTGTTTGTCAAAATATCCTTGAAAAAATATATTTTAAAAATCCACATTTGTAGATTCTTGAAAAAATGTATTTTAAAAATCCACATTTGTAGATTCTTGAAAAAATGTATTTTAAAAATCCACATTTGTAGATTCTTGAAAAAATATTCTTTAAAATATTTTAAATAATTCAAGTTTGTTGGTCTAAATGTCCTTGAAGAAATATATTTAAAAAAAGTCCAAGTTTGTTGGTCCAAATATCCTTGAAAAATATATTTTAAAAAATCCATGTTTGTTGGTCTAAAGGTCCTTGAAAAAATATATTTAAAAAATCCACGTTTCTTGGTCTAAATGTCCTTGAAAAAAAAAATATTTAAAAAATCCACGTTTGTTGGTCTATATATGTAAATTTAAAAAAAATATATTTTAAATAAAGGTCCTTGGAAAATATATATTTTAAAAATTTACTTTTTTTGGTCTATAGGTCCTTGAAAATGTTGGTAGTTGTTGGTCCTTGAAAAAGTATTCTTAAAAAATCCATGTTTGATGGTCTGTTGGTCGTTGGGCAAAAATGTTTTAAAACCCTTAAAAAATATTTGAAAAAAAACATCCACCCTTAACTCTCCCATGAGGACATCTCATTCATTTCCATGTCAAGTGCCAAACAATACCTAGGGGCACCCGCTTTATTTGTTCTTTCCCAACATGTTCATTTGTTGTCTAATTCAACAAAAACGAATGAAGAAAGTTTGAAATGAAAAATGTCTTGAAAATAAATTAAAATTCAAATAAAAGGACTATTTGACATTACAAATTACACGTGCTTACACATCTGTCATTCGCTCTTCTTCGCCCGGCAAATGAATAATTACACAGTTAATAAGTTGAATTAGCGTTTGAGTTATTTTTATTTTTTCTTTCTTTTCAGCTACTGCACCTGGCAGTCGAAGAACACGTGGTGTGAGTTTGGGGAAAAGGTGAGTGACTAATTGCCTCATCAACGCCAAGACAAAACGACTGAAGGAAAAAATCTGGAAATTTGACATGGATATCTGTAATAATGTGTGTTGTTGAGGTACACCTGGGTGTTTAGAATTGTGTACTAAAAGGTATTAAAGTGGGCCAAAAACCCACGTACCAAAATTTTGTATTTTTAAAGCAAAAATATTGAATTTCGACGATAAGGTTGCGATGGGTGCTTGGCGTGAAATATTTTTAAATTCTTGAAAGTTCGTACCAAAAGGTCCCTAGAAGTACTGAATTTAGTACTTTTGGAACTAAATATGTTTGGAATATCAAATATTTAAAGTAAGTGGTCTATGCGTGGATAAAACTTTAAAATTTTGTTAAACTACATTAGACCGAAACTTAGAAGGAGAGGAAGAGAATCACCTCCCCCCCTGCCAAAAAAAAAACAAAGAAACTCAAAGACATTCCTCAATTTCCCCATTCACTCTACTTTCAATAACGAAATACATGTATATCCCTCTCTTCATATTTTCTGTCGACAAACTCCCTCCAACCCCCCTTCATCATCTTTAATTTGCTTTTTTTCCAATTCTACGAAAAGCCATTCATCATTGTGACCAACTCGCAAATGAGAATAAGATTGAAAAAATGTTGTGTCACTTTCCCAGCAGCAGCGTCACCGATGACATCTCGGCACTCCAACAATTGAATCATTTTGACAACCTCAAGTCCAAGGATCAAACTGTTAATGATGCCGTGTTTTAATGAATGGCCAGCCTTTATTGTGTCTCAGGCTACGATGGGAGATGTCAACCAACTGCGATTGACATCGAAGGAGGCATTGTGGTTTTGTCTATCATTACAAAATCATTTAAAGGGAGTGTGACAAAAGCAAAGAAGGTCCTTTTGTTTTGGGAGTGAAAATCAATCAAGGATTATTGAATCTGTAAATACGGAATTTTTTAAAGAATATCTTAGCAAGGACCAGGAGACCATTTTTAAAGAATAAAGAATACTTTTTCGGGGACAAACTCATACCTCCAGACGTGGATTTTGAAAGAATATTTTTTCAATGACCTACTGACCACCAAAAGTGGATTTTAAACGGATTTTTATTTCAAGGACTTACTGACCTCTAACCTTGAATTTTTAAAGAATTTTTCTTCAAAGACCAACAGGTCTTCAAATGTGGATTTTTAAAGAATATTTTTTAAGGATCAAAAGTGGATTTTTAAAGAATATTTTTTTAAGGATCAAATGTGGATTTTTGAAGTATATTTTTTCAAGGATCATCCGTTCTTCAGACGTTGATTTTTTAAGAATATTTTCAAGGATCAGCAGTCCTCCAGACATGGATTTTTAAAAAATATTTTTTCAAGGATAAAACGTGAATTTTTCAAAGGATATTTTTTAAGGATCGTGGATTTTTTAAAGAATATTTTATTAAAGATCTACAAACGTGGATTTTTAAAAAATATTTTTTCAAGGACAAAACCAGAATTTTTAACGAATATTTTTTCAAGGAAAAACCAGGATTTTTAACGAATATTTTTTCAAGAACAAAGAGTCCTCCAAACTCGGATTTTAAAGAATATTTTTTTAAGGACAAAACGAGGATTTTTAAAGAATTTTTTTCAAGGATCAAACGTGGATTTTCAAGGAATATTTTTCAAGGATCAAACGTGGATTTTCAAAGAATATTTTTTCAAGGATCAAACGTGGATTTTCAAAGAATATTTTATCAAGGATCAAACGTGGATTTTCAAAGAATATTTTTTCAAGGATCAAACGTGGATTTTTAAAGAATATTTTTTCAAGGATCAAACGTGGATTTTTTAAAGAATATTTTTTTCAAGGATCAAACGTGGATTTTTTAAAGAATGTTTTTACAAGAACCAACAGACCTCCAAAGGTAGATTTTCAAAGAATATTTTGTCAAGGATCATCAGTCCTCCAGACGTGAATTTTTTAAAGAATGTTTTTACAAGAACCAACAGACCTCCAAAGGTAGATTTTCAAAGAATATTTTGTCAAGGATCATCAGTCCTCCAGACGTGAATTTTTTAAAGAATGTTTTTACAAGAACCAACAGACCTCCAAAGGTGGATTTTCAAAGAATATTTTGTCAAGGATCATCAGTCCTCCAGACGTGGATTTTTGAAAAATTACTTTTTCAAGGATCAAGGATTTTCAAAGAATATTTTTTTAAGGACCAACTGACCTTCAAACTTGGATTTTTATCGAATGTTCTTTAAGGATCTCTAAACGTGAATTTCCCAACTTGGGTTTTTAAAACACATTTTTTCAAAGATCTCCCAACACGGCTTTAAAAAAAGTATTTTATCAAGGATCTCCTAACGTAGATATAAAAAATATTTTTTTTCAAGGACTTACTGATCTCCAAGCGTGGATTTTTAAAGAATATTTTTTCAAGAACTATTAGACCTACACAACGTGGATTATTAAAACATATTTTATTTTAAAATATTTTTTTCCCAACTTGAAATTTGAAAAAATATTGTTTCAAAGATCTCCCAATACGGCTTTTTAAAAAAATATTTCATCAAGGATCTCCTAACTTAGATTTAAAAAAAATAGTTTTTCATGGACCTACTGACCTCCAAGCGTGGATTTTTAAAGAATATTTTTTCAATGACCTTAAGTACCACAAAACGTGGATTTTTTAAGAAAAAAAATCAAAAAGAATAAGTCTTCCAAACTGGGTTTTTTAAAGAATATTTTCCGCTAGGACCAAGGATTTTTAAAGAATATTTTTCAAGGAGCAACAGATCTCCAAAGGGGATTTTCAAAGTAAATTTTTGCAAGGATAATAAGTCTTCGAAACTTGGATTTTTAAATAATGTTCTTTAAGGGTCCCTAAACGTGTATTAAAAAAATATTTCTCCCAACGTGAAGTTTTACAAAATATTTTTTTGAGGATATTTCAAAATATTTCTTCACGGACCAAACGACTAATAAACGTGATTTTTTAAAGAATATCTTTTCGAGGACCAAACGAGGAAATATGTTTCAGGACCAAAACGCCAAAAAAGTGGATTGAAAACTGTTTTCTCAAGGACCAATAAAGTGCAGTTTTAAAGAATATTTTTTTCAAGGATCATCAGTCCTTAATTGTGGATTTTAAAGAATATTTTTAAAGGACCGAACGAGGATTTTTAAAGGAAATGGTTTTTGAGACCAAACGATGATTGAAAATAATTTTAGATTTTTATAGAATATGTTTTCCAGGATCAACAGATCTCCAAACGTAGCTTTTTAACGAATATTTTTTCAAGGACCTTCAGACTCATAGGAATATTTTTTAAAGGGCCGCCATATCCCCAAAGATGATTTTTTTTAAGTATTTTTTGTCAAGGACCATCGGACGTACCAATGAACTTGGATTTTGGACAATATTTTTTAAGGACCTAACTGGAATTTTTCAACGGTATTTTTTCGAGTATCACCGGACCGTGGATACTCTAATATGTTTTTTTAAAGGACCTAATGGGGATATTTAAACAATATTTTTCACAGACCTTACGTAAATCTTAAAGAATCTAATGCTGATATTTAACCTATACATTAGGAAATCTTTTCAAAAGTATTTTTCCAAGGACAATGTGGATTATCCAACAATAATTTTTCATGGAAAGTACATGCATTTTTTGAGGGACCTAACATGGATTTTCCGAAAACATTTTTTCAAGGACATAATTTTAATTTTTTAACAATTTTTTGGAGGACCTTATGTAAATTTTTGATAGTCGTAGCAGTCATTCTTCAGTTAGCCACAAGTCAAAAAATTAAGTCTAGACCAACTGTGCATCTTTTAACCTAACATAGCCTAACGTGAATATGACAATATTTTTTCCAGGGACCCTACATGGATTTTGTAATTTTTCAAGGACCTCACATAGATTTTTTAAAACATTTTAGAGGACCTAACGTGGATTTTGAACGATACTTTTTAAGGAGCATCAGAACACCAAATGAGGATTTTTTAAGGAACGTCTTTTGAATACTTGGAGTTTTTCAAGGACCTCTGATGTGGCACTCAGGAAGATTCTTTCAAGGACTTTTTATTTGCAAGGATTTTTAAGATTTTTTCAAAGTCTTTTGAAGCCATGCGAGTATGCAGAAAATCTCTTCTTTTGTCTTGAGAAGATTCCGCACTTTATATTTCCATAAAACTCAGCAAAGAATATTAAAGCCAAACCTCCATCAAGGTTGTTGTTGTTGTTTTTTTCTTTGTATCTGTCTTGTATACAAAACAACAGTTCGGAATAAGATATTGTCCATTTCACTGAAGCCATCAACATACATACACACGTACACACGCACACACTCACATGTCTTTAGCTTCTCAGATGCTGCTGTGTTGTTTACATTTGCTTCCATGAAACTCCTTCATTTCAGGATTCCATTTGGAATTCTTGAAGTGAACACCGTCGAGAGTGTTTACCTTAAAAGCGAAGCAATGGAAAAGAAGGATATTTAGGATGTTTAAATGGGTATCGCTTCTTGTGATTACTTTAAATGTGTTTTTGGGTGAAACATAAAAGAGGGATAGTTTTTAGTATTTTCTCTCCAAATAAATATAGGCTAATAACTTTGGCAAACATAGAAACCTTCAAAGCTGGATTTTCAAAGAATATTTTGTCAAGGACCAACAGACCTCCAAACTTGGATTTTTATCGAATGTTCTTTAAGGATCTCCAAACGTGAATTTCCCAACTTTGATTTTTAAAAAATATTGTTTCAAAGATCTCCCAACACGACTTAAAAAAAATACTTTATCAGGGATCTCCCAACGTAGATTTAAAAAAAAAAAAATATTTTTTCAAGGACTTACTGACCTCCAAGCGTGGATTTTTAAAGACAATTTTTTTAAGAACCATAAAACCTATACTACGCTGATTATTAAAAAATATTTTATCAAGGATTTCACAACTTGGATTAAAAAAAAAAAATTCACAGATCTCCCAATACGGGTTTTTTAAAAAAT